GTCTTCTCTTTTCTGAATCAATTTGTACCATATATGAGTCTTAGTTCTGTCAGATGAAGTGAACTGTGACAATGTCTATCCATCCATCAGGACAAATCAAGCTATTCATACATTTACTCTGAGAGCATCTTAGTGCATTTAACATTTTTTCCTGTGGCAGTGTTTCCCAATTTTGTAATGCCAAATGTAAGAACTGTGGGGTCACCAAGTCCTTCAAAATTAGTGAGAACTACATTGGCCATGTTGATGTCACCTAATCACTTGTATTTCCTGTATGTGTTCTCCTTCTAATTTTGTGTTCTTCTTCACTTTTTTTTTTTTTTTTTTTCCCTCTTGATTTCATATACAGGGAACTTCTTTCCTCATGTCACGTATGGATGTCGTGCACAAACTCACAGCTGACCCATAAAGATGCTCCAAGTGCTATTAGCTAATGGCAGCTATTAGTGCTGCTGGCTTACTGGTGTGGAAAAGCCAGGGCTTTTAGAATAGAAATGCACACTTTTCTGGTGATGTCGCAGTGATGTTGCAGTGCAAGTTCGTTATTAGAATTGGGTTGCTGTTTAAGTAGTGAGAAGCTGCTTAAAAGAAGGGCCCCAGAAGTTTTGCTTGGAGGGTCTGTACCATGTATTGGTGCTAGGGCAGAACACCTTTGTCCTTCCAGGGAGAGCAGGACCAACCATGCTGTATCCAGTGTATTCCCAGCAGAACTTGTAATGTATGAAGATATGTCCAAATGCAAAACTAAATTTCTCCCAAAGGTAAAAATTTCTCCCTTTTATAAGTCCATTTGAAGTAGCAGTTGCCTTAATTTGACTTCCAGGTAGCTTTTTATGTATGAATATATTTTTTTCTGCAAGGGAAGCTCATGGTGTTTATTCCATCACCCTGAATTCATAAGACTCTTCAGAACCTCAGCTGCAGCTATTGATACTTTTCATTTTGAAGTTATATTTCTCCGTTATGCTCTCCAGAGACTTAATTAAACAAGAAGAAGCTATATGAAGGATCAATAACTGACTTGCAGCAAGTGGTGCTTCCATGTGGTAGCTATGTGTGCTTCCTGATACTTAGGACCATTAAGAGAGCATCCTGACCCACTCTGCCTCCATTTCCATTTGTACTGGCTCTTCCACAGCATGCTGTCTTGTCAATAGGTTTCTCAATATGAACTACAAATTCCTCCTGCTTTAGACATCCTTCCCTACAATGAGCACAGACACAGCCCGTAAGATGACTTCTGTTGCTGTAGGAGAGAGCATTTTCCTGGTATCACACTGACCCAGAAAATGCTAAGGGCTGGTCTTTACTCAGCAGCCAAACAGGCTTGGCTGGACAGAACAAAGCACAATAAACCCCTTCAATGAGATCCCAAGTGGTGGGTGTCATGTTGCTGTTCAAGTCTTATGACAAAATTTTGGTTTCACACCACTTTGACTGTCTTAGGGCAGCTGTAGGAAGTAATTGCTCCTTCAGAGGTAAGCAATGTTTTGGTAACAGAGTAAATGGATAGTCCTTTTGCACCTCCCTGCTGCAGAAGTGGCTCTGCTGGAGAGGGAAGAAATTACTTCAGTTTTTAGCTGAACATTTGTTATTCTTCTAGTAAGAGCGGTTCCACAGCTCAAGCCAAAGAGGCTACGTGACACATAGCAATGATGCCTTCACCAGCACAGACACTCCTGCCCTTGAAGGACCTAGCCATGTAACTAGAGACTGCTGAGTGAAGCCTTGCCTTCTCTGAGCAGATTTAGTGGGGCTGCCATGGACCTCATGGAAATAATGACTGTGGGCTGGGAAATAATGACTCTGGTCTTCTCTGGTCAGAGAAGATTGCGTGTGCTGCGACGTGCAGAGAGAGACTGCAGGCTCGATCTCTTACTTGCTCTTAGTTAAAGTGTTCTCCTCTAACTAAGCAATAAGCTGTGGTAAATCACCCTCTTATACCCTGATGCTTTGGTTATAATGTTTCATTAAACAGCTCTAATTGAATGTCTGGAGAAGCTTACATCTCCCACAAATCCTCATCTGCTAATGGAAAAGTCATGTAAACAAGAATCACTTTATTACATCCATTGTTCCAATAATGCCCCTTCTAAATGGGAAAGACTTGAATCAGAGCAATTGAGTCCTTGTCTCAGTGTAGTTTCTCTTCTGGTCAGTTTTACTGGGAGAATAAATAAAAGGCACTCTGAGAACACGATAGCGTGAAAAGCATCTGCAGCCTCCATGCTCCATGGTCTCGGGAAGCCATGCTGAATGGCATATTTAAAAACCATTTGCAGAGCACACATCTCCTCCCGGGGCTGACACAGCCACTGAACTTTCTGCCCCAGTGCCTGCTGTGCCAGAGCACGGCTGGTACGCTGGCAGCGTGGGGGTCGATCAATACCCCAAAGCCATGCGAGGCAAGCAGAGTCTGAATTGCCTCCCAGCAGTCGAGGCACTGTGCCATCCAGCGGGGTCGTTCCTAATTTGCCCTGACTTGTAAGTTGTTTCAGGCCTGCAGTTTGGGTGCGTGTATTCAGGGACAGCCAAAGTTAACCCCATAAGGTAAAAAATGTGGGAGTTTGTCATTGCATGAAAGCTTGTAGACAAGGTAATTGATAATCACAAAAAAAAATTGTGTCCCCATTAAATTCATGATTTCCTGTAATTTCTGGTAGATTCATGAAGTGGTTCTCCTCTTTTCCTAGCAATGGGAAAGGCCAGGGGGATCACTCTGGGACTGGGAACACACTGGTGCACAGGTTTTGACCATACAGAGCTCAAATTCTTTTCTGATGACTTGTCTGAACTTTTCACAGCATAACTCTCAGGTCCCAGGTGAGGAAAGTCCTCCAGCCCGTGTGGTGCTGTTTCTCTGATGCTTTTATTCCAGCCTTCCCTTTAGGGTAGCCCTGGTACCACTTGCACCTCTAGTGGGGGCTTCTTTATCACTTTATCGTTAAAGCTGTACTGGGACAGCAGGACCTGCTCCTGAACCAAGTGCACGAGTCCTTTATTACCTTGTAAAGAGAGGTCGAAAGGCTTCAGCAAACATTACTTTCCCATCAGCCATCTGAATTGTAAAACTTGCAGGCAAGTCCCTGGTGGGGCCTTGCACTCAGAGCTTTAAAACTCCATCCCCCACTCCTCTGTTTGGTTTTCTCAATGACCTTGCATGAATCATTCAGCTACCTGGGTCCTCAAGTAACCTTACTGTAAAATCAGCAACAACATGACCCTACAAAAATTGTGCCCTGGCACCACAGCTGCATCCTACATGTGTCCCCTGTTTGCTACACATCACTAGGCAAAACTTCCAAAAGACAGCGTGAGCACTCCTTTCCCTGTCTTTGATCATCAGGTGGTGTATCGCATGGGATACTTTGAATTCTCTAGTCTATTTTGGGGGAGGAAGGAGGAAAATGAGATCAAGGCAGTTACTGAAGGCAAGTCAGGCTCAGACTCTAACTGTGCTATGTTTAAAATATTTAATTCCACAGTATGAGTCACTATGACTTGGCTGCTATTGACCTGGGTAACCTGAGTCAATATTGCATAAAAGGCCCTCTCATTTTGTCACTATAAATAAAATCTGTGATTATTCATAGCGAATGCTAAGTTTCTCTTACCATAAGCAGCCTTACAAGAGCATTATGCTCCAAGATGTGGCTGTGTCACTGCTTGTGGGTCATCTGGAGCTGCCTTCATGGGTGACCAGCTTGAAAGGGGCAATGCTTCTGCCCTCAAGCATTTCTGCCCCTGCCTGCCAGAAGGAGAAGCCTGTTTCCATCAAGAACAAGCACCACTGAATAAATTTTGCAGGGATTGCAAAAGACATAAAAGAAGCTGAGGGAGAAAAAGTGAAAGAAGCTAAACATAGGGAAAGGAGAAGAAAGAAAAGGAAGTTGTCTCCCCCTCCCTGCCTCCCTCAGGGCTAATTTTCATTATTAGCTTCTGTTTTATGGCACCATCCCCTCCTACTCCATGTGTTGTAATTGGGCTGGCACATACTATGCGCATCCTAACGGGACATGGTAATTATTTGTTGGATAACCAGAAAGCCTGTGCAGGGATGTGCTTGTGATGAGCCCTGCGGTGCCATCTGACCCTGCCTTTGACCAGTCCCGTGACAAACCCACTGGCTCATCCTACAGAGCCTTCTTCCTCCTCCAAAGGGTTTATAAAAGCTCAGTGGATGGCACTAGGTGCCTCTGGAGGGGCATGAGTTGGCCAAGCTGCCTTGTCGTGTCCTTGTGGGGCAGATTTCACTGATCCCAGCAGAGATGTGGGCTGTCACCTGTGTTGGTGGCTATGCAGACCAGGCTCAGGAGCAGCTCTAGCCAGTGGAGGATGAGGGTGAGTAAGGTTCTGTGGTCTAAAACAGAGGTTGACACCTTGAACAAGGGGAGGGTAAAACAAAGGGATTGGTGTACTGTTTGGATATGTTAGAGCTGTCCTTTCTAGAGTTGTATTCCTGTATTTCTTGATGGTAAAGCACCATGGATTAAAAAGGCAATTAGACAGTGAAGTGTGGCCTCTTGATTTTGTCTGAGTTGTGGCTGGAAGACAGTCTTTAGCTGTCTCTGTGATTATCAGGGGAACAGCACTAATCTGCTCCCTGCCCTCACCCTGTGAGACAGGAGAGAGACTCCCCTGTCCTGCAAGAGGATCAGCTGAGAGCAGCCATGGGTAGAGAGATCTTTAGGGGTTGGATTATGGTGCTTGCATTGCAGTTTTACCAGGGAGTCTGTCATGGAGACATTTTAATGTTGATCTATGCTTTAATAGTATTGAAAGAGAAGAGTGACATCCCTCAACACAAACTTCTGCCTCCCCATTGCATGTCCTACCCTGCATGAGGTCTTCTCCCAAACCTCAGTGCTGCAGAGAGAGGGTCTGATTCCACCACTTCATCTCACCCACCTCACCTTTTTGTCCCACACAGCACAGCAGAGGTCCCACTGACCCGTAGTGCCTTCCAATAGCAGCCTTCTGTCTGCAGCTGACTCAGTTTTCTGTATAAATCACTCTATCAGGTATCTCAGCTGCTCAGCTTGATCTTCACACTAGGTCCTCACACAGATGGCAGAGTCTGTGGCAGGCAAAAAGGTCTTCCTCATTAATTACTTCACTCTTCAAGTCCTCTACTACAGACATCTCTATGCACAAAACAGGTAAGTAGATATTGTTGGCTTATTTTATGTCTGGGAAAATTAGGTCCATGGGGTGATCAGCATGGTTTAAATAGAAAGAGACAGATGTTAAATGACTTTCCTAGAACATTAAGGTGCTCACTGTCCCCAGAGTCCTTGGCTTAGATTCACTAGCAGAGAACATTTTTATAATAGATTGGCAGTGGGTTGCTTTTAAAAGATTTTCTTGTTTGAATTGAAAGACTCACCTTAAAGAAAAACCTGACTATGTGCGTGTCATGACAAATACAGGCACAGAGGTTACAAGTTTCTGAGCACTGAGCTGGAAAGCACTCAGTGAATTGAATAACCTGCTGTTATTTAGCAGAGGTTTTGGAACTGGGACTAAAACGTGGGATAGACCAGTCATTGCTTTTTCCCATCCATATGAGTTTCACTGGTCATGTTAATTGTGACCAAAGTTGCTGTTTTTCCTGAGTGCATTGGAAACTATGTGGAGTTTTGAGGCCTGAGTAGCCAGTGGAAATTTGCTGAGGCAATAAGGCACTACTAAACAGATAGCCTTGCTGGAAGCTCCGTTGGCATCCCCCTCTGATGCTTGCCCAGTCACAGATAAGCTCTGCTGAATTAGCCTCTTCCCCTGGATTGCTCATCTGCTGTATTTCTAACTCACCTTTGGACTCAAATATTTTTACACTAAATACTCCACCATACTCAACAAGCATTTACACAGCACTTGCATGGTTGATACTCCACTGTACACAGAGCCGTAGTGAGACAGGTTTTCAAAAGTGTGTGTTGAATATATGTTTAAAGATAGAAGGAATACCATAAAATTGGGAACAGTTTCAGGTTTGAGAGGGGCAGCAAGCCCATGGCAATGCTTCAACTGGAAGAGGAGGGTTTTGGAAGAGTAGGCTGCTGACCCCAGGGTCATTTACAGGGTCAACTGAGAGGTTTTCTCAAGGCAAGACAGAGTCACAGAAAATCATGTTGGAAGGGATCCCCAAAGATCATCAAGTTTAACTCCTGGCCCAGCACAGAACACCACAAGAATCACACCATGTGCCTGAGAGTGTTGTCCAAATGCCTCTGGAACCCTGTCAGGCTGATGCTGTGACCCCTTCCCTGGGGAGCGTGTTCCAAGCACCTTTTGGGGTGGAAGCTTTAGGAACCTTTTCCTAATATCCAACCTAAAGCTCCTCTGACACAACTTTAGGCCATTCCCTCATGTCCTGTCACTGGTCACCACAGAGAAGAGATCAGTGCTTTCCTTCTTTTTCCCCTCACAAGGGAGCTGTAACTGCACTGAGGTTTCCCTTCAGTCTCCTCTTCTCAGGACTGAACAGACCGAGTACCCTCGCCTCTCCTCCTATGGCTGCTCCTCAAGGCCCTTCACCATCTTTGCTGCCCTTCTTTGGACACTCTCTAATGGCTTAGCATCTTTCTTATATTGCAGTGACCAAAGAAGAGTCTGCTTTCCCTGCCTTGTGAAACAATGCTAACACTTGGTGCCTGAGCTGCTGTCCTAGGGACCTCTGAGGACTTGCTCAAGAAGATGGAAATGCTGTCTGAGGTACTATACACAGTTGGAAAGACTTGTGTGAAATATCTTGGCTGAAAACCCTCAAGTGGCCCAAGTTGGCTGTTATCATGCTCTGAATCAACAGTCCTTGACACCTGTTAATTTAAATGTTTCCACCAAATTACGCTTGCATTTGCATTAGTAAGCTGCAGCTAATGTTTTCTTCCGATTTTTTTTTTCCTAGGAAGTTTTCTAGCAAACAGAAACCCTATCAATAAGGAAGAACTTTTTCCAAATGAAAATTAAAGGGGTTTTTCCCCCTTTCCCTTCTCACTTGATTTCTAATGGTTACTTTAGAAACACTCGATCTTCATAGAGAGACCAAAAGCAAACTGCATCCCTGAATAAACAAATTCATATTTGTGTGTGTATACATCCCTGTGCACATATATATTCCTAAACACATAAAAAACCAAGTGCATGGCATTGCTTGGAGTTATATGGACGGTTTTGGATGCCTATTTTATTTATTGTACTTCTATTGGAGAGGAAAATTGGATTTGGGCCCGTATATCTCTGAGGGTGCATTATTTGACTTTTAATCTACATCAGACTGCAACAAAGCACATCGCATATCACAGCTTCTGCTGCCTCTGATACAAATTCTGTATTTCAAGAATATTTATGCATACAGGATTATTTAGTTTGGTGGCAGAGGTGTTGCATTCTGCACTTTTATTCTGAAGAGTATTACCAGTGTTTACTGTTTGAATTGACTGTTCATATCAATTCCATTCTATGGAATGGGTGGTTATACCTATGGACTGGTGAAAAATGACAGTCCCCAGTAAACAAAAGGGTTAACTTTACCTCTCTTTTCCTCTGCTGGGGAAAGGCTGCCAGGCATGGAAAGAAGGAGAAATGGAGGCTCCCTCTCCACTTTTGGGGAAGGGATGAGACCCAGCAAGGAGAGGATCCCAGGTGGTTTACTCCTGACAGTTGTTAGTTTCTGCTATGACATGAATGAGAGGAAGGACTATAAAATCTGCTTTGCATGATTTATTATGTGTTTATATATCTGCACTGGACCAGTCAAATTTCAACAAGGACTTGTCTAAAACTTCTCTATTCAACCGTGTTATTTTTTCCACTTGTCTTGTCTCCCTAAGCCCAGCTCCTGTAAATACTTTGGCCCATCCTGAACTTTAAAAGGAAGATCACCAATGCTGAGCTCTCTCAAATTCCCTCGAGGGCAGCTTTTTCTCCTGTGCCCTAGACAGTCCTGTCAGCTGCTGTGCTCCAGTGACAAGATGGCTGCATTTCATAGCAAACGAGATGCGTTATTAGCGTGCAGCTGTAAAACACTTTGAAACTCTAGTAGATGAATAATTTTGTATCATAAATATAAAATGAATATTGGTTTACGGTTCCTGAAATATTAATTTGTGCATGGAGTCACTCTTGGAATGTTTTTTTTTACTAAATGTAAAGATCTTTTCGAGTTCTGAATGTCCTTGCTTTGGTTTTTATTATTAATATTCCCTCCAGGAGACATTGACTTTCACTTCCCCTAGACATGCTGACTCCTGCCTGCCAGAGTGATTCAGCAGCTTGCCACTCACTTTTACAAAGGAAAGTTTTCTCCTGGCTCCTTCCACTGGCCTGGTGTGACATTGGCTGCAATTGAGGGACATATTAGTGTGGCTGGTTGACTCTTCACACCGACTTGCTGCTGAGCAGCTGGGCAGCTGTGAGCTCTGTCTAGCTCGTAGCTCTATCCCTTATACAGGGTAGAAGATCCCCATGGAGAGCATCAGGGCTCTCTGCCTCACAGCTTTCTCTTCTCCAGGCAGGATCATGTTAAATATCCAAAAGTTATTTATAATTGAGGCTGGCTGCTGACTATCTGTCACAGTCATCCAGGTCTAGAGAGGAAATTCTGCAGAAAAATGCTGCTCATTTGTTTAACTGCAACAAACACACATAAAAATTGCAACTTCCCTTCCCCTTCCCCTTCCCAATTGAACCCAAGGAGAGGGAGACTCACATCACAATACTTAATTGTGTTTTTGTTTTCCTAATAAAGTGTTAAATAGCTGTCAGAGCTCATAAACATACAGCCTAACATAAACCAAGCCGGAGACACAGATGTATACACCTGCGTGCAAACCACCTGACTGCTATGTCTTGTTTTATTAGAGCATAGTATATGAAGCTAAATTATGTGGGGCTTGTGGATCCTTAAATTACATGTTTTTATTGATCTCCTGTCACTCTTAAAAATATATTACAGAGGAAAAGAATGCAGTTTTTGATACTGAAAAAGAAATTCAACTGCAACTCATAAAAGATCTGAGAAACTATAATTCAATGTGTGGGGTTGACAAAAATGTAAAACATCCGGTCATAGCTAATTAGTTTTAAAAATTCTGCATCACAAGCCTTTAGAGACCAGATCAGGAATCAGTGTTATTCATGGGACAACTTTCCTGGTTGCCCTGGGGTATGTATTTTGAAGCAGACACCTTTGTGCAAAATTTTCATATCCCCCAAACCACCCAGTGATCTTCTTTGCCCCTTATCCCCTGTCAGAGCTGGGAAACAGGGCCCTGGGGTTTGAAAGCCAGGTTTCCACAGCAGCATCATTTCTGCAAACCTGGCCTCTGCCTGGATCCCAGCCTGGGGGAATAAGACCCACCGGCGTGTGGTCTTTCGTTGGACATGGCACAATTTTGTATGTGGAGACCCACAGTGGTGCTGTGGGAAGAGCTCAGGAAGGAGGGGCTGGGGTCTGCCTTGCCCCTTGCAGAACTCACCATCACAGTGGGAATAAACCTTGTCAGCATGGGATGAAGCACTGATGGTGAGGTTGAGGATGCTGTGGTTTGTCTTATCTGGTGGAGAGGAGGTGGGGTGGAGAAGCAGGGTGATTTTGGTGCTGCTCCTCCAAGCTGGGTGAGCCTGATTTGACTGGTGGCTGTGGCGTGCCTGTACCCTGCTGTAGCTCATTGCCTCGGGTGAGGTGCTGAGTGATTCAGAGCAACCGTTTTTATATCTTTTAAGAAATGAATCTGTTTCCCTAGTGGCTTCTTGTCATTGCTGGAATGCAGCTGCTAGCTCCAAAATGGACATCTCCTGTAATATTGTTTGATCTCATAGCACAAAACAAACCGGATGCTCACGTCGGATAGACCTCAGCATAACCTGGGCCCTTTTTTTCTTACAGCAGAGAAATCCCATCATTTAACCTGTCTCTGAACCCGTATTTTTGGGCTCAAATAAGGACAAACATTAAATATGTACTCATATCCCAGAACTTGTTTCTGGTACTCAGCTACTAAAAATTCAGCCATGGCCCTCATAAATTGCTCCTAATGTTTGAAGTTGCTTTTTTACCTTATCTGCAGGAAGCACCTGCACAGCTGCATTTACCAAGAGCAAAAGTATTTCTTCTATTTCTGCAGAGAGATTTAAAAGAAGAGACTTGGCCAGTTCATATGCTGCTGAAGGTATCAGCAGAATTTTAATAGGTGAGATAAACAATAATGAAAGGAAAAATAAAACTAGTTTTATGGGTAGTTTTGAATTTGAGGACTGGGTTTCTGGGTTTTGGGGCATTTTCAGATCAACTTGCCTGTCTGACACCTGGATTTCATTCTCCTACAACTTTAAGAGGAGGAAAGGTGTGCATTTGTCTGGAGCAGTAAGTCTGCTTTGAAAGTTCATTGAAATTCAGAAATCCCATTTTCCAGCAGCCATCCTCTGGCACTTTACAATTCATGCCTCTAAAAGGGATTGTTTGTAAGAAACTGAACTGTAGGAGCATAGCACAGATTTTAGGAATGTAGTCACGAGTGTTTCACAGGAACTTTGCTATCACTTTGGTTCTGCTCTTAAGAAGGTCTCTGATCTGAGCAAGGATAATGTCCTCCAGACATGTGGTTTCCTCTTCCAGCTTCCCCTGCGGTCCCCTCCAAGGAAGCTCCTGTTCAGTTTGCACTCTGACACGCTTTCTGATTTACTGTTTATGCTGGTTTAGGACCCACCTCAAAGGCACCTGAGATGCCTGCAATTGGGATAGGAACATTCCAGAGAGAGGCAAGGCAACTGTCTGAGCACAAATCCCACTGCATCATCCCACTTGTGAATCAGAGCCACTGGGCTCAGTCCTGCCCTGTGCGGAGACACCGGAGAGACTGCAGGAGTCCCACTCTGAATGCACACATTGAGTTATTTGTTCCCAAAGAGAGGAAGTGATGTCACATGCTGAGAGTTGTTTGTGAATCCAGGAATGTTCCTGAGCCATGGCTGGCTGGCAGGGTGGAAACACGCCTGCAAAGGGCCTGGTGATTCATCCTGGTCACAAGTGATGTGCAACCAGGTAGGACATGGCTGGCACAGCCTGGAGAGAGGATGTTTCTGAGGACATGGTGCACTGGGCAGGTGAATCTGAATGGGAAAATCCCTTTCCTGCATGTCTTCTCTCCCGTGACCTGAAGGAGAAAGGAGGCTCTGCTCTCAGGTACGGCCGCACCTCTGAGTTGGTTCCTCATGGAGGCTGTTGGTTATACACCAAGGAGACCAAGAAAGCTGCTGTGCTCATGAAGTTCAGCACATTAGAGCCCATGATGACAGTCCTGATGCTGTGTATGTCTAGATCAACACTGTGCTGTTGTAGTAGGTCTGTAAATGAGCCTCTGAGGCTCATTTTATTAATGATCTATTATTAAGACAATATAGGTAATATTTCAAAATTTCTTCTGGCATTAAGGAGCATAAGATATGTTTCTTCCAAGAACTTTAAGGAGAGAGTAAGACCTCTTCACAGGCAAAGAGCATGAATAACAGTGGTCATTCAGTGCCCAAAACTGGGGTATTCTAAGGGTATAGGGTGAGCAAGGGGAGCTTGCACACTTGGGAGAGGAGAGCAAGAAGGCCCCAGAAGCTGGGAATGGGGGCAGCAGAGGAAGAAGCATCACTTGAAAAGGTGTTGAGAGTCAGGCACTGGAAGAAATAAATTCCAGAGGTAAGGGACTTCTCAAGTCAAGGCTCTGGGCAGAGCACAGTCTCCTGTTTTTTGAGGCTTACTGCATCCATGAAAACCAAACTGACATGGCTTCCCCTAAGAATGGAAACAACCTGCAGGGCCCTGAGCATTGTCTAGTTGCTCATGCCAGGGTTAATACCAACTTCATAGAACATGCACCACCAAATTCTGTTCTCTTCTCTCTCTCACAGTAGCAAAAAAGAAGGCTTTCCTTCCTCTCTCCTTTGGCCAGTGGCTCTCCGGAGACTGAGGCCTGAGTGAGGGCTGCCTCACCTGCCTGCTGTGGAAATTGGCACCTCTGCTACACTTCTTGCCATACTGTGTATGCCAGCAGAAGGGCTTCCACCTCTGGGGATGAGACTGGCTGATGCTGACAAGGCTAAACCTCAGGTAGGGACAGAAGTGCTGCATTAAAAGATGATGGGATGAAGAGCAGATGATTTCTCAAGCCCATACCAGTTTGCCTGTGCTGGCTTTGCCTCCATTGCCGAGACAGAAGGTGTGGGATGGCACCACAGGCTGGTGGTGTGGGACAGATCAGGAGATCAAGTAGCCCAAAAAGAAGTGCTAGAAACAGGGTTCTGTCATGCATCTCTCCATCATCAAAGGCAAA